ATGGGGGGGGGGGGGGGGGGGGGGGGGGGGTTATTTCTTGATAAGGATGAATATAGAGAAGGAAATAATCTGTTTTTCGAGAAATTATACACTAAATATGAGAGTGAAATGGAGAGAGGAAAGTTTGGAATCATTTCCTATTTCGAGGGATATTAAGAAATAGTTAGAGAATCCTTTTGAGATATAAATAATCATGGAGCTGTATTTGATAGTGAAAGACAAATCTGTGGGTCCAAATGGCTTCCCATTGGGTTTATGTAAAGATGGTATGGCTATTATTAGGGATGTCTGATAGAAGTTCTTGAGCCTTGAGGAGTTCTTCCAGGATGGCGTGATCAATTCAAAAACATATTCACCTTATATGTGTCAAATTTTTTTTTTAAAGAGAAAAATCAGATTCTAGAAAAGTTATGTGATTCTGCCTCGTTATTCTATTGACTAGTTTGCACAAGATCATGGAAAAGGTTGTAGAAAGTAGATTGGGTAACATCGTGGAATTTTCTAAGATATATTTTCAGGACTTCAGAAATAAAAGGGATTTTAAAATATATAAAGTATAAATGAAAATGGAGCAGCAGTATAATTAGCCAGGTACCAGAATGTAGAAATTAGAAAATAATTTAAAAATAAAATTATGTGGTGAAGATGGTGCCACATCCAGCAGCACATTTGGTGCCTCGAGAGCACAAAACCACATATGGTATTGCATGAATAGAATTTTATTACCATTTCCATTGTCCTTAATCATCAAGTTTCCATCTCTCTTGATAATGAAACTTTCTGCTATTATTAGATCATGAGACAAGGAGATTTTTAACATAAACGCAGTGGTATCATTCAGGCCATCAGAATTAAATCTACCATGGTCATATCAATTGACAAACTGTCATTTCCTACCACCAAATTGGAATTATCTCGCTGTAAAACTCTATCTCCATACTTATATTTCTTATGAATTCCTCTATGTCATCCTAAAATTTTTCTTAATGAAATATCCTACTCTTATGTTAAAATATGAAAAAATAAAGTGTGTTACAAGTTGAGTTACGATAGTTTCAGAGATGAATTTGATTCCATTAACAAATAGTCTTGATATGGGGATTTTTAGCGAAAGGTTGGTTTATGGGTTATAAATTATAGATTTTCAATTGTCCAAGACTCCCTAAAAGAAAGCATCAGCTGGACAGTATTCTGCATATATATTTGTTGATGAGATCTCAAGGACAATTTAGCATATGTTTGTTAATGTCCTTATTGTTTTATTCTTCAAAATTTTCCTGATACTAATTTTTTGCATTCAAACAAATGATTTCATTCTAGCCAATATGTTCTCTTGCATTTCAATAACATTCCTTTGCCAGAATTACATTTACAAATTGATGATAGGCATGTTATAATCTCATAGACCAGTTAATATAGAACTGAGAAATTTTTCATTTAGGATACTCAAGATGAAAACTTAAATCAAGTCAACACCATAGATGAAATCCGAAAGAAGATATAACAGGAATATCATACTAGTTTTGATTTTCTTGATAACTTACAGCTTAAATGATAATGTCACTGCATGCATTTGCATCTTGTAAAAAGGTCGATATGTAATTTTTTCCAGGACGTATATTTGTTTCCTTGAGAATGTATCTCATAAGAACTTGTGTTATGGTGTGGCAGACTGTATATGACAAGGATACATTTAAAACAGATGATTTTATGGGGGAGGCGGAGATCGATATTCAACCCCTGGTCTCTGCTGCAAAAGCCTCTGAGTGCACCAAAGTTGGTGGGTCAATGCCACTTCGAAAGTGGAAAGCAAGCAAAGAGAACACACTTGTAAGAGATGGCGTTATCAGCTTGGAAGATGGTAGAGTGAAGCAGGAAATAGCTCTGAAGCTGCAGAAGGTGGAAAGGGGAGTGTTAGAGATTGAGCTTGAATGCGTTTCGCTCACTCAGTAGTATTAGTATGTGAAAACAAATCAGAAGGTACATAATTTATATGGCTGCCTGCCTGCCTGCCTGGTTTCTCCTATTTTTTGGGTACTTTTTGGTCTCCCTATGTTCTGTAATCAGACCTATCGACGGGAAATACATTATGATAGAATATTTAGAGGGTAAATATTGGACAAGAGGAAATTGTGGCTTGTAGAATTCCCTGTTTTGTGATTTATTTGAAACAAATAACTGGCAAATAATTAAATAGCTGAGATATTACTGGTACAGTTTGCATGACAATTTTTTGAGTTCAGCCAGAAAAATCTAGAAATAGTGAGACAACTTTTGCTGACATTCCGAGACAGTCCTCATTTAGATAGTGAGACAACTTTTGCTTTGACAGGCATACCTTGTGTTCATAGGCAATGAAACCTCTGTTTAGTTTAGCAAAAAATAAAATTTTTAATTTCTATAGAAGTTAATGAAACTTGTGGTTGAAAATCAAGTTGTGAATTCTATGAAATATGTAGTTGAAAATGAGTTTGAGGACAAATGAGTTTTAAGAAATGGAAGTTTAACAGGGCATTGATAAGCATCTTTTATCAATTATCTGGGCCATTAAATATGGATATTTGGGATTACTTTTGATGAATATATCTTAGTTTCTTGTATTTATTGTTCACTAGGTAGAACTTGATATTTGGAAGTGATTTTGGAAGAAGCGAACGAATATCCACAAAAAATGAGGATTTTCGAAGTCCAGGGATTAAATCGTAAATAATCAAAAGATGAGTCGGACCAAAAGACAACGATCAAAGATGACAAAGAATCAATTGGATGAAATTAGTAAGTAAAGGATGGAAATTGTACGAAGAAAGGATGCTCGCTAAACAAAAGAGTAAAATGGAGTATCAAAATGAAATCGAAAAAAGCTGTGTGATAGTAGCTATATATGCTATATAATCGCATTGCTTAAAGTTCTGGTTGACATTGTAGTTTTTCTACAATTGAAACTCCTTTTGGAAACAACTTTGGATGTGACTCTTGACCTAAGTCCACCTCCATAAGTATAGAATAGGGACCGACATTAAAGGGGTCTCTCATATCATATATCACATATAAATCTTGCAATTAAGGGAAGCCAATCTATCATATTTTAAAGAAGAGAATAAATCTAAAAAGGAATTGAAGGCAAAAAACATCAATAAGTTGAGTATTCCAAACTTGGGATTGAAGATCAAGAACAAGAAATAGATTCCACATTTCTATCTTGTATTTATACATTTCAAGAGATGATTTGTCAAAACTCTTGTTATATTTCACTAGAAACGTGATAGGCTAGATCTCTTTTGTGTAGGGATGAAAATGAAACCTTTTATTTGATTACTTTCGATTCAAAGACTATCTAGGTAGTTAATTTGTGTTATCGATTGATCCTATACGCCTTGTGGTAATACTTGAATTCTTGCACACTATTTAGGTATATAGTTGCCCTTTTTCTTTTTTATTATTATTTTTTTTAATGACTCAGGTATCCAAGTTTTGCTCGACTAATCATGAGGAGTGGTGGCCTTCCCCTCGATTCGTCACCCAAGTAAATTCGGATGCATTCATAGTTTATACACACTTGAGCCGAATATTCGGGATGCGATTTTTCTCTCTGTAAATCTTCCTTTACGACGTGCGGACAGGATTTCCGGAGGGGCGACAGAGCACATCATAACTTTGCTTTTACAGGACATCTGCCTTTCAACATAAATTGGATTATCAATTTCTAAGGGTACAGAAATTACACTATATAACATAAGTCTAGAATTATATATACGATAATATGTGGATTTCGAATTCAAACACATCATTCTCAGATATATTTCATTAAATTCAACACGATTCAAATTAAAATTTATTCCTTATGGGAGATACTCTTTTTTTACTACATTATTACTGAGGTATGCTTGAAAAATTTCTTCGAATAGGCTTAATCACACGAGGAAGACTCCAGTTGGGGAAGATTTTTATGTATATAGTACGAGAATTGATTGAGACCCAGTTGTTGAAGGAAGTTAGCCACAATGTTGATTTAAAGTTATTTATATAGATTCAGTACTGATATAATATAGAAAGAAGAAGAGTTCAAGGAGAAGTGGTATTGACACCGAAGGACTTAATTTTTTAAATTGTCATCTTGCGAAGAATTTTCGGTCTACTCAGGATGGAATTTGGAATAATGCAATACAGATAGATTTTAGACTCTTAATAATGGTTTTGGTGACACATGATTTTAGAAGAAAAACACATAGAAATTCAAGAGCAAAGGTTGGGTTTTGCAGGATTTTGGCATTGAAGAAAAATATTTTGGGTGCAAGAGCTAATTCTTTCCTTCATCAAGATTTCAAAAACGGCTGTGATGAACTCTATTCCTTTCTATATATATATATATATATATATATATATTTTTTTTTTTTTCCCTTTCATTAGTAGAAGGAGCTTAATCATTGATTAGGGCAAATAATATAATTTATGTATGACTTTCTATTTCATTTTTCAAAATTCTAGTAGTTTAATTTTCGACTTGTTTCATGGATTGCAATAATTTTAAAATGACTTGAAAATGTTACTGTCAAGGTTTGCTTCACATATCTCCCTGATATGGTTATTTCACTAGTTTGCGATTTGTTTTATGTGGATAAGAGATATAATATGCATCAAA